GGATTTCTGTGAGTTCAAGGCCAGACTGGTCTACAAAGCGGGTTCCAGGATAGTCAGAGCTACACAGAGAAACCTTGTCTCAGAAAACAAAAAACAAACAGTCAAAAACAACGGAGTGAACTGTGGCTGGTAGAAATACAAAGAAGGTCTTCTGAGAATCAATGGTTTGCAGACAGGCACATTAAGATACTTTCCAATGAGACTTTGATCTCATGCTGTTCCCAGTCCAGAGAACATAGGCAGCTGGGTGTGGCACTGCACATCTGTAATCCAGGAGATATGAGGTGAAGGCCAGAGGACCAGCTGTATGAGGTCAGCCTTGGCTTGTGAGCCCTAGCACCACCACCCAAAAGTAGCCAGATATACAGAGTACTTTTGGGAAGTCCCAGGGCACAGCAACCAGATCAAGTTCACATGATTGAAGAGTGTGATGAAAGCCCTAGACGGGCAACTGTGCATAATGCCAGGTGGAAGCAGGAAGATCAAAAATCAAGGTTAGCCGGGTGGTGGTAGTGCACACCTTTGGTCCCAGCACTTGGGAGGGAGAGACAAGTAGATCTCTGTGAGTTCCAGGCCAGCCTGGTCTACAGAGCAAGTTCCAGGACAGCCAAGGCTACATAGAGAAACCCTGTTAAAAAAAAAAAAAGAAGTTCAAGGTTAGGGCTAGAGAGATGAGTCAGTGGTTAAGAGCATTTCTTGCAGAGGACCAGGGTTTGGTTTCCAACACCCATATGATGGCTCATAACTACCTGTGACTTCAGTGCCAGGGAAGCCAGTGCCCTCTTATGACCTCCTCGGGCACCAGGCACACATGTGGTGCATGTACAGATATGCAAGCGAACATTCATACACAGAAAAATAAGTAATCTAAAAAAATAAAGTTCAAAGTTATTCTCAGCTACATAGCAAATGTGTATAGTGAATTTGAGACCGACTTCAGGTACATGAGACCCTTAACAAAAAAAAGCCCTACACATGGCCAAGTCCACTAGTCTCCAGAAAATAGATCAAATATACTCCCCTGACAAGTGATGCGACCTTCCTGCAACTCTGAGGGTTTCCACCATGTTGCTGCCTCCTTAGCCACATTCAGTGTTGAATCCTACCTCTAAAAGAAAGGAAAAGTAAGCCTAACTCCCTTCCTCTTGAAGAGAGGCAAGACTCAGAGAGACACTTCCAAAAATACACTAACTCTCACTAGAAGTGCAGAAGTGTGATTTAAAATATAATGGAACGTGTATGGGCTGGTAAGACTTTAAAAACAGTATGGTGGTATTTTATTTGTACTGAAATGTGATTTTAATTGTATGTTAATAAATAAAGTTGCCCGGGGGTCAGAGCTATTAGCAAGCCATAGGAAAGCAGGGCAGTGGTGGTGTATGCTTATAATCCCAGCACTTGGCAGAGCTAGGTAAGTCTCTGTGTGTTCAGGGATACAGCCAGCATTGGAGACACATACCTTTAAGACCTGGAGGGCTGTACATACAGGCAGTGACGAGGCGATCATGTGGTTGGGTTTACAACCAATGAGAAGGCAGAACAGAAAGACTATGAAAAGACATACACACAGGAAGTAGCTCTCTTTCGGAGAGGTAGGACCACCACAGGAGGAAGGGTAAAGTTTGAGCTCTAAGCTCTGAGCTCTTGGCTTTCTTCTTTACATTGGTTCTGTGTTTCTTATTTAATAAGACGGTTGGTTACATCTACAGAACAGAGTCCTTTTAGCGGTTGATTTATCTGGCCTTATCCATCTTTTCCATATTTTTTAAAGATTCATTTTATGTTTTGCTCATATGTGTGTCTATACAGCACTGCACGTCTGGTGCCTGAAGAGGTCAGAAGGGCATGAGAGCCGGGGAACTGGAGTTACACATGGTTGTGAGACACCATGTGGGTGCTGGGAATCGAACCTGGGTCCTCTGCCAGAGCAATGAGTGCTTTTAAGTGCTAAACCATTGCTCCAGTCCCCACGTTTTTCATATTTTACATTTTGTTTTCCTCTTTTAGATATTTACAGCAGTTTGCTTATTAATACCCATGTTATGAGTTGAGGATTTAGCTCGGTGGTAGAGCACTTGCCTAGCAAGCATAAGGCCCTGGGTTCGGTCCTCAGCTCCGGAAAAAAAAAATACCTATGTTATATTATACTAAGGACACAGAAAAGGAAGATAGATGTATTCATTCTCAAAATATATGAGCTAGTAAATATGATTGAAAAATAAAATATACTACTTATTGTTGTTTGGTCTTGGGTTTTTTTGTTTTTTTTAATCAATTTTCTTTTTCTTTTATTTTATGCACATTGGTGTTTTGCCTGCATGTAATGTCTGTGTAAGGGTGTCAGATCTTGGAGTTACAGACAGTTGTGAGCTGCCATGTGGGTGTTGTGAATTGAACCAGGATCATCTGGAAGAGCAGCTAGTGCTCTTAACCACTGAGCCATTTGATCTGTTTGTTTGTTTGTTTTTTGTTTTGTTTTGTTTTTGAGACAGGGTTTCTCTGTGTTGTTTTGGTGCCTGTGCTGGATCTCGCTCTGTAGATCAGGCTGGCCTCGAACTCACAGAGATCCTCCTGCCTCTGCCTCCCGAGTGCTGGTATCGAAGGTGTGTACCACCACCGCCCGGCGGGTCTGGTTTTTGAGACGTAATCTCAATATATAGCCCAAACCAAATGACCTGGAACTTGAAGCAATCCTCCTGCCTCCGTCTTCCAAGTGCTAGGATTATAAACGAGAGCCATTGTAATTGAAGTATATCCTGACTCCATCAGCCACTGGGGGAAAGCTATCAATCATGCTGGAGAATCTAGCTCTGACTGCACAGTGTAGAGGTAACCCTTGCCAGCTAAACACAAAACAAAACCTTCGGTGGCTCCCCACAGCTTCCAGGATAGAGTCCAAGCTGCTCACGGGGATCTAGCTCTGGTTTCCCTCCCATCGCACACACCCCCGCACTGCACCTCCTGTTCCAGCCAGGAGGACCACCTGTTTTCCTCGAGAAGGCACTGAGTGAGCTCTTTCTTCAGGCCTGTGAAACAGGTACCTCCTCAGTCTGGAATCTGCCCCAAATATATGCTATTGTATGTACACGACTGCTGTAAAATTATCTCCTTGGGCTTAGGGTGTGGCTCAGTGGCTGAATGTTTAGCGAGTGCTTAGGGTCCTGGGTTCCATCTCCAGCCTGGAAAACAGAAACAACAACAATAGCAAAACTCCCCTGCCACTCAGAAAAAGCCCATTCTGCTGGCCAGTGTTATGGCAGCACCTGTCTCACTGTACTGGATTATGTGTGTATTTAATCAAAACACTGTAAACCCCTTGAAAAGGCAGAGACTGTATCAGGCTTGTCCCTGGAGACTTAGCTCTCGAAACCTGGCCCAGAGTAAGAGTCTAACAAAAATGCACTGAAAGATGCATCTAATACGTCTACCTATTTCTTCTCAAATAAAACCCATACTCTTTCCCATTAATTGCACCCTAACACTTGGGTCTTTCCCTTCTCCAGTGAATTAATCTCTTTGTTATTGTTCTGAGACAGGCTCTTGCTATGCAGCCCAGTCTGAGCAGGGTAGAGAGATGGGGAAATTAGGGAGACATGATGCTTAAATTAGGGTTTCTATTACAGTGAAGAGACACCATGGCCACAGCAACTCTTACAAAGTAAAACATTCAATCGGATGGCGTACAGTTCAGAGGTCCAGTCCATTATCATCATGGTGGGACATGGCAGCAGGCAGGCAGACATGGTGCTGGAGAAGGAGCTGAGAATTCTACATCTTTGATCCACAGGCAACAGGAAGTGAACTGAGACACTGGGCGTGGCTTGAACCCATGTGAGACCTCAAAGCCTGCCTCCACAGTGACACACCTCCTCCAACAAAGCCATACCTCTTCATAGTGCAAACTCATCCCATGAGTTTATGGAGGCCAATTACATTCAAACTACCACACATGGGGAGCAAAAGTTCCTTTTCCTGGAGTCTGAATTCCCTCTCACCAGTAGAGAAGCAGCCTGTCCAACACAACTGACAGCCTTCTCTGTGGAGGCTGCTGACAGAGGGGTAGCAACTGGGAATCTCAGACAAGGATATTAGCAGAGGAATTCTACCTTCCTGCGTCCCTGTGAGAGCTCATCTACTGGAACGCCCTCAGGCGCCCCCAGGAACCATCTGATGAGCTTCCTTGTTGACCCTTTGAAGGAAACAGCTTCACATCACCAACACCTTACATATGACTATGATAAGACAGTGAAGAGGAGGGGCTCTTAGGTGAGCTTAACTTTCTTTTCCAACACCTCTTTCCCTCTCTTTTTTTTTTCTCACGTGTACGAAATCATTTTATAAAAATAAAAACAGTGGTTAGATGCCACGAAGTAGGTGCCTTAATCATATGCGAGTTGTTAGGCCCAAGGGCCTCCTCCATCCTGAGTGCTAACCTTCTCTCACACAACTCCTCTTTCCCTCTCTTAACTGGCAGGCTTAGAATCCGTATGAAAAAGGTCAGCCAGCTGGTGTTGGCGCACGCCTTTAACCCCAGCACTCAGGAGGCAGAGGCAGGCAGATCTCTGTGAGTTCGAGGCCAGCCTGGTCTACAGAGTGAGTTCCAGGACAGCCAGAGCTACACATCGAAACTCTGTCTCAGGAAAAAAAACAAAACAAAAACACATGAGTGTAATAAATCAAAACAATTAATGTAATTAATGAATATCATAAAAATAATTATTGAATGAATACTGTGAATGTAATCAATGAATACCACAAATGTAATTAATATCATGAGTGTAGTTAATGAATATAATGAGTGTAATTAATATCTCGAATGTAGCTGGGCGGTGGTGGCACACACCTTTAATCTCAGCACTTGGGAGGCAGAGAAAGCCGCATCTCTGTGAGCTCAAGGCCAGCCTGGGCTACAGAGTGAGTTCCAGGAAAGGCACAAAGCTACACAGAGAAACCCTATCTCGAAACAAACAAACAAACAAATAAACAAAATGTAATTCATGCCACTGAATTGTGAACTTAAAAATAGTTACAATTGTAAATATTATGTTCATTTAAAAAAATAAGGTGAGGGCTTGGGGATTTAGCTCAGTGGTAGAGCACTTGCCTAGCAAGCACAAGGCCCTAGGTTCGGTCCTCAGCTCCAGAAAAAAAAAAAAAAGGTGGAATGTAATCACCATACATTATATGTGTGTATGAAATTGAAGACAGCGATGTTCTAAAATAGAAAGAGGTGATGGTGTCATGGGGCTATGAGGATGCTGGACTAAAGTCTATCGAACTGTGCAAACAGGCAAATTGTATACTATATGAATTATTTGTCAATAAAGATTTTATAAAATGTAAATAAATGAAATAAAACATAATTATGGAATTTATACCTCCTTCCCCTTCTTCCATCTCCCCTATGGCCTCTTTCTAATTATAACTGTTATATATACATATGTATGTAACTAAGTTTATAAATGCAACCTGACGGGTCTGTTTAATGTTCCTGGTGCTTGTATGTTTCTGGGGCTGACCACTTGGTGACTTTTAGGAGCCTCATGGCTGGGGAAGATCATCTTTCAGTTCTTCACCTGGGGTGCGGCTGTGTGAGATGCTCCTCATCCACCGTGGCACATCCACTGGTGCTGTCACTGTCTGATTCTTGTTTAATTTAACCAGCCACACTATTGAGATTTTATGGGCTAGCCTGGGGTTACTTTCCCTGTTGAAGCCGTGAATCCAGGGTTGACCTGCAGTCCCTGAGTCCCTAAGGGATTAAGGGAATTCCTCAGACTGCAGAGGGTGACAGAGTGGAGCTGTGCCTCCTTTCTTGTTCCCTTGACAAGGTTAACCTTGACTTCACTGCGTAGTCTAGGCTGGCTTTGAATTTATAGCAATCCTCCTGCCTCAGTGTTGTGGAATACTATTTTAACTAGGCAAAGATGTGTTACATTTGTTTATGCTGCAGAATATTACTTTAACTATGTGGAGGTTGTTAACACTTGTTTCTGTTGCCTTTGTTAATGATGTAAAGACGTGTTGTGTTTGTTTCACCTTGCCTGCCTAAGGCACCTGATAGGTCTAATAAAATGCTAACCGGCCAATAGTTAGACAGGGAAAGGATAGGCAGGTCTAGCAGACAGAGAGGATAAAAAGGAGGAGGAGAGCCAGGCGGTGGTGGCGCACGCCTTTAATCCCAGCACTCGGGAGGCAGAGGCAGGCGGATCTCTGTGATCGAGGCCAGCCTGGGCTACCAAGTGAGTTCCAGGAAAGGCGCAAAGCTACACAAGAGAAACCCTGTCTCGAAAAACCAAAAAAAAAAAAAAAAAAAAAAGAGTTAAAAAAAAAAAAAAGGAGGAGGAGAAGGAAGAGGAGGAGGAGGAGGAGGAGGAGGAGGAATCTAGGCTCTGGGGGGAGGAATGAGAAGAACGGAAGAAGGAGGAGAGAATGATGGACATGCCTGGGTCAAGAAGCTGCCAGGCAGCTGCCAGACAGACAGACAGACGTAGAGAAGCAGTGAAAGTCAGATACACAAGAAGGAAAGAAAGGTAAAAAGCCCTGAGGTAAAAGGAAGATAAAGAGAAACAGGTTAATTTAAGTTAAAAGATCTAGTCAGAAAGGAGCCTAACTAAGCCAAGCATTTATAACTAATAAGGAGTCTCCATGTCATGATTTGGGAGCTGGTTGGTGGTGGCCCCCCCAAAAAAGCCTGGTACATCTCAGCAACGAATGACTGAGATTACAGGACTGTGTCACCATGACGGGCTTAATGCAATCGTTTACATTTGCAAAGCTCCTCCAGCTTTCAGAGTACTTTAACTGTTACTCTCTTACCCCTATGCCCAGCACTTTGGAGGCTGAGGCAGGGTTACTGTGAGTTTGAAGCCAGCCTGGGCTACACAGTGAATTCCAGGCCATCCTGGGCTACAGAGTGACATCCTATCTCAAAACATCATTTTTCATTCTTTTCTTCACAACAACCTCAGTACTGAGAATACTGAAGAGAGAGTCGGGGCCAGGAGTTTCTTTACTAAGGGTCAACCAAATGAAAAACCATGTATGGGGCTGGAGAGATGGCCTAGTGGTTAAGAGCACTGACTGTTCTTCCAGGAGACCTGGGTTCAATTCCCAGCACCCACATGGCAGCTCACAACTGTCTGTAACTCCAGTTCCAGGGAACCAACACCCTTACACAGGCAAAACACCAATGCACAATAAATCAATAAATTAATTTAAAAATGCTA